AACCTTGTTATTCTGTGTTCTGTGGGTGCCAGATTGGGACTCGGAGGGCGTCTCTGCTCTCTGGATCCTGGCAGGGGGAGAGCGATTCCTCTCCAGGTCTTTCTCAGAGAGGGCAGCAAATAAAGAATATTAAAACTCTTTCTCAGCCTCTGGAACTCCCCCCCCCCCTATATGTCCAGGGGACGATTATGAATGGGTGGCAGGGGTTAGTTAGGGGGTTCCTTTGCTTCCTCTCCCCACAGCCAGTTGGGACTCCAGACCCCTTGACCCATCGCCCGGGGCCTGTCCCTTTCCACTGCTAGCCCTCAGTGGGCCTCTAGCATTTGGGGAGGGGGCTTGGCAGAACTCCGAGGACGCTCTGGTTGGCTTTCTCCCCGAGGAGGGAGGTGGCTGCAGAGGGGCTCCCCGTTGGCCCAGCCTTTTTTTTCTCCACTTGGCTTGCTGGTTTACTTATATAGCGCTGAGGCCGCTGGGACTCCGGCAGATTGGAAGAATGCAGGCAAAACTGCAGCCCCCGGATAAAGCAGAGCCCCGGAGAGGGTTAGCCTTTGCACTGAACATGTGCGGCGGTAACAGGCCCCCCCCACACACACACACCAGTTTGTTGCTGTAGAGAGCGAGGAGAAAGATGAAAGTTGGGCAGAATGAGAGATTAGCATCTATTTGATGTTCCATTTAGCAATTAAAGAAAAAAATATGTTTTTGACTCACTCTGAGATATGCTTGAAGACCAGTAGGGACTGTACTAGACCTTCCTTGTTTCCATATTTCCTTCCTTCTCTCTCTCTTTTCCTTCCTTCCTTCCTTCCATATTTCCTTTCTTCTCTCTTTTCCTTCCTTCCCTGTTTCCCTATTTCCTTCCTTCTCTCTCTCTTTTCCTTCCTTTCATATTTCCTTCCTTCCTCTTTTCCTTCCTTCCATATTTCCTTCTCTCTCTCTTTTCCTTCCTTCCTTCCTTCATATTTCCTTCTCTCTCTTTTCCTTCCTTCCATATTTCCTTCCTTCTCTCTCTCTTTTCCTTCCTTCCTTCATATTTCCTTCCTTCTCTCTCTTCCTCCCTCCCTTCCATATTTCCTTCCTTCTCTCTCTTTTCATTCCTTCCATATTTCCTTCCTTCCTTCTCTCTCTCTCTCTCTCTCTCTCTCTCTCTCTCTCTTCCTTCCTCCCTCCCTTCCTTCCCTCCCTCCCTCCTTTCTTCCGTACATCACCCAGATCACCATTGAAAGTGACTTTAGCCCCTTGTCGTTCCTTCTAGCTCAGAGGAGAAAGACTTGGGCCACTGCTGGATGTGCATAATTCCTTCCAATCACACCTGTCACGTGTTGAGTTCCTTGGCCGCCCTAGAGCCAGATCAGGGACCCTTGGGGGGGGGGTTACTTGCAGGCCGGAGCTGGTATGAGATTGCGGACAGAAGGGAATCTCTGAGCTGTGGGGTCCTTGGTGCCCTCTGAGCTGGGTGCTTTTCTTGCAGACGTTTCATGACCCAGCTAGGGAACATCATCAGGGCTAGAAGGGAGTGGGGTTTGCAGAGAGGAGGAGGAGGAGGACTGTACTGGGAGGGAGTGGGGTGATGATGTGCCCTAGTTGGGTCATGAAACGTCTGCGAGAAAGCCCCCCAGCTCAGAGAACACTTATGTCCCCAGAGGTCCGGTGTGCTGCTGTGCATGTTTCGCAGTGGCCG